ATTATTATATTATTAAATAATGACTAATGTGTGTATTGTACTAAACCATACAAAGTTTTCTGTGTATACTATTTTGCTTTCACAACAATCTGATATGTTGATATAAGTTTTTGCACATGCTGAGGTAGAGGCCCTTCTGGGACACCCATGAAACTGCCTAGTATGTTTATATAGGCTTATAAGGCAGGTATGTTGTAGAATGATATTTTTGTACACTGTGAAGATGTGTCTCTGCCAAGGCACCTTCTGATTGGCTTAATAAAGAGCTGAACGACCAATAGCTAGTCAGAAGAGGATAGATGAGACTTCCAGACAGAGATAGGAACTCTGTGAAGAATCTGAGGCATGTGAGATTTGCCAGTGAGCACAGCAAGTCAGACACACAGTATGGGGGAGAGGTAACGAGCCACATGGCAGAATGTAGATTATATAAATAATCTATAGATTATACATATGCTATAATATATATGTAATCTGCAAATTATATAATTAATAATTGGGTTAATTTAAGTTATAAGAGCTAGTTGGGAACAAGCCTAAGCTAAGGTCAAGCTTTCATAATTAATAAGAAGTCTCTGTGTCATTATTTGGGAGCTGGCAGCCCAAAGTCTGACTACACAGGTACTAACAACATCTAATAGTTCTTTTTAACAGATGATTCTTTTGTTATTTTTATGTGTATATGTGTGCCTGTGTGAGTTTGTGTGCACCAGGTGCCTGCAGGGGCCCACAGAGGCCAGGAGGCTGTTGCATTCCCTGGAATCAGAGCAGTAGTTGGTTGTGAGCCATCACATGGGTGCTGAGATCTGAACCTAGGTCCTCTGTAGGAGCAGTCAGTGCTCTTAGCTGCTCAACCATTCCTCCAGCCCTGCACCTGTCAGTTCTCACTCTCACTGTTTGTGACTGTGGAGACCCAGAAATGTGAGCCTATTCCACCTTGTCTGAAGATCAGAGAGTTTGAGATTACTTTTGCTCTTTCAAAGTAAATGAGAGAGTCTGGCCTAGGGTGTGGTTAATTAGTATTTTGAGTGTTGAAGGAGATCTGCTCTACCTGGACCAAAGGTTGGAGAATTCAAGTCTATTCCTTGTGTCATGCTAATGATGTCTGTTGCCTCCCCCTCCCCTTTTGGAGTGAAGTATATAAGCATATGGAAGAATAAACGAGAGGAATTTAGTATTTGCTGAATGTCCCAGTGCTGTTCTATGTTTCTGTCTTAGTTCTTCTATATCTCTGTTCCTAACATTTCCAATCCTTATGCTCCTACCCTGGAACATGTGAGTTATGTTGAAGTTGACTTTTGACATATGGCAGCCCAACATGGCACGGTTTTCGACCGATGGCCAAATGCACTAAGTAATAAGTACTTCCCATGTGCTGATGAGGCCTATGTCCGAAATCCTGGAACCTGGAAACTGACGGTGTTCAGACGAGGACAGCCTTAAGCATGCAGTCACGGATCTGGAAATGGGGAGATCATCCTGATTGTTCTCTGGGACCTTAAATGCCAAGGCAAGTATCCCTGTGACAGACACTGGGACCTCAGAAGCGGGACTTAATGACATGTCTACGGTTATGAATGCTCACAGAAGCAGAGGTGGTGGCATGTGCCA